GCTCTGCAGCTTGCCTGGCTGCTTCTTGCTCTGACTGAGGGCTGCTGGGAGCAGGGGGTGGGGCTTATTGCATGTGCCCGCCCCCTGGGCTCTTTACTGCCGGAGCTCCGCTCCTGTGTGCTCCTGCAGGAAACGACCCCTGACGTTTTGAAATATCAACCTATCAGCTGGAACAAATGCCTGATTTAAACATATTTTGAGTCTAGCGGCATCTTTAAGACCAACAAAAATGCATGCACATGAAAGCTCATACCATGAATAAGCTTTTGTTGGTCTTAAGGGTGCCACTGGACTCAAAATTTGTTCTACTGCCTCAGACCAACACGGCTGCCCACCTGGATCTGATTTAAACAGGATACTGAGAAAGAATAAACCCATGCAATTTTTCACATGACCAGCATCTTATTTAAACTGGGCTACTGTTATCTGTCCAAAGCATCAATGCATGCTGAATTGGCAGGCAAGAGATCCCTAACCTTGTAAGGGGTTATACTGGGCACTCAGGGTTATGGGGTTGTGATGAGATGAGAGGCAAGAGATGCTGTGACAGTTATGGTGATGGGAAAGGACCCTGGTGTCTCTGTGGCTGGGAAGAAGGTGCTCTCTGCTGGATAGAGAACATCCTTTCCCCTATGAGAGGGAAACAATGCTCGCCCTTATGTTAACACCTCTTGAGTGGAAGGTCCAAATCTGGCAGGCTCGAGGGTCTGGTGGTTGTGTGTGTTTGGTGCATTTTGCTGTGCATTTTCCATAAAGAATGACAGCAGAGAATGAAAGTGTTGTAGATGCACCACGAAAAGGAGCATCTTGCAGCTAACAAAAGACCAGATATACCATGGATTGTAAATTACCTTAGTTAGTAACTGTCCTTTTGCTTATTTGGCTTAATGCACCTAGATCTGTCCTTGTAGTACCTAAATTTGTGCCTTGTAGACATAAAGTTGTTTAATTGGAGAGAGTTTGCACTAGTCCTTACCCGCTTGTCTTAACCCCTTGGCATGCTACAGCTGAATGCCCCTGTGGAGTTGGCCTCGGGCAACCCATCAAGAAGGAGTTGGATTTTACCTGAGATAGTGACTGTGACAGCGGAAAATGGGGGGGGGGGAGAGTGGCTAGTCCTGCCTCACACAATGACTGAGATCACTACAGGGGTATAAACATTTTAATTAATCAATATTTATTTATTTGCACAAGTTGCATTCTGGCTTAAATAAGAAGCTGGGCAAACGCCAACAAAAGGGTGGAGCTGCCCTGAACACACATGTCCATCACAAGCACAACAGGCTACTGCTCAAGCTCACGGGAAAAAATTAGAAGTGATGGCTGTGGTGGCTGCAACCTGATCTATGGAGCTTAGAAGTGGACGAATTGTAAGCACTGTAGACTGGGTAGAGGGAGAGGAATGAAGTGCTCCTATAACAGCAGAGGGTGGCAGCCAGTTTTTCTTTTCAGTATCAACCCCTATTGCCACTGGGAATGTTGCTCTGAAGGGCCCCCCCCTAACCTTCAGGAGCAGCTTTTTAACAAGCGCAAAGAACTGCAGGAAAAAAGGGGGGGCTGAAAAGCTCTGGTGTATGCATGCTTTGGATCCTGGCCAATACTCATGCACCCACACTATAATAAAATGGCTGAACGGTGGGAAGTGTGAATCCTAAGTATTTTAACTGCATGCAGTTATCATATATGTATTTCATACACTATATCCATGTCTACCATTTTGCAAATAACAGATTATAGCGTAATATTCAGAATCTAGAGGATCTCAGCTTGACTTCTGTGCAGGGGTGGACATGTAATCACACTTCAAGGAAAGCTCTGGAAATTTACAAGAAGTTGGCAAAGACAGCTGAGTTCTCCAGAAGGTACGACTTCAACGCGTACTCCAGTTTTCCTCCGTATATCCCCGTATCTACTACACCATCTCACATCTCTTCTTGACCTACCACACCAAAAGCTCCCAATTCTGTGAAAACAAATGCAACCAGGCTGACAACAGGTTATTAAATAAATCACTTATGTCCCTTTACTGTCTGCTTCACCACTGAGCCTATCCGTTCTAGATCTTCCAATCTAAACAGAGAGGATGAGAGCGTTTTAGTAGAGGGAAAAAGCAGCCTACCCTGGGCCCACCGAAATCACTTCTTGTCAGTTGTAGTGCTACATTTATTTACTATTAATCCTTGTTATACCATACCTAGCCACTTTATAGATAAAAAAGCATGAGGTCTTAAGAGATCGGATGTATCTGGAAAGGAATTCTCTGCAGCTCAGAACAGTGCGTCTCTCAAAAGAACTTACCATGTTCTGTTCAGCGATGTAACACTCAATAAATCGGCTGGGATGCTCCTTTTTGAACAGCTCAGAGAAAGTGGAATTTTTTGTATCCCCGTCCAAAGCAATCACCCGGTCAGATGCATGGCCTAGTTTTGCAAGAGCCAGGCCATAAGCTTTGCGAGAAGCTACCTGTGAAGGGGGAAACAACACAGACACACTGCTGAGGGAAGGGGAGAGAAGGAAAATCGGGCTCCGTGTGGAGAAATCCTTCTGCCCACAGAAATGTTAGTCTAGAGCCAAACATTTCAATTGTACGTTGTTATGCCCAATGGCCAAAATGAGGAAACTGAATTGAATGTTTTGACTGCAGTCTGCCGCTATGAAGAATTAATTACAATTGACACTTTACCTACAGCTGACGTCTGAAAGTCATGCAGAACCTTTTGCAGACTTCTATGCTGTTTATTCCCATTACCATACTACATAAAATGTGTAATCCTCAGCAGGGCTTTTTTTGTGGAAAAAGCCCAGCAGGAACTCATTAGCATAACAGGCCACACCCAACAGCAGAAACTCATTACCATATTAGGCCACACCCCTGACAGCACAACACATTAGCATATTAGGCCAAACCCCATGACTTCCCTTGGCTTGCCCAGGCAAGCCAGCCCTTGGACAGGCCGGGGAAGGCATGGGGAGGCATTTAAATACCTTCCCGATTCTTCCAGGGCCCTCCCTGGCCCACCCGCCTCAGAGTTGCTGGGATGCATGTTAGGCCACACACCCCTAATGTAGCCAATCCTAATGAGTTTCTGCTGTTGGATGTGGCCTATTATACTAATGAGTTCCTGCTGGGTGTGGCCAACTCAGGAGCCAGCCGGAACTCCGTTCCTGTGCGTTCCTGCCCAAAAATAGCCCTGTTAAAAGCAGTTTTTTCCTATCACCAATACAAAATATTGAACCAAACGAATCATGTTTCTGAGCAAAGCCCCATTGATGGGAAATTATCACACTACCTTCTCTCCCATCTTGTAATTGGGTGGGGAGGGCATCCTAACATTTCTGATGCTAACTATTGGTGCATCTTCTTGTGGGAAAGCCGGAGAAAGCCTCTTCTTGTTCTGGATCCTTTCGTCAATCTCTTGAATGATTTGCTCAGCCATGTTTTTGGGAAGAGGCTTGCCATGCCAGTTTTCCTTATCTTCGATACCTGATAGATTATTAAACATTTTTTTTTAAAAAAGAGGTTAAACTGCAATCCATGTTGACAAAATGCTGAAATTAGTAGGAGCTCAGAGTTAATGCCACAGCAGTTTGGCTTAGGTGGGCCTATTCGCAAATATGATGATTCTAAACAATGGCGTCACCTGGGATCCAATGTCAGCGAGGTCTTTAATGTAGCCTATCTCGTTCCAGATTTTACCTTGTGCAGCTAGACAATCTCCCTGGTAAGCTTATACTCGGGCAGCCCAGTTCTTCCCTTCCACCATGCAATTCCTCCTTTCCTCGTTGCTAGAGAGTCTTCCTCTAGCACTAACCTCCCTAGCCCAAACTCTACAGCATTCACTGGTTACACTAAGCTTGCCTCAGAAGTTTCTTTTCTTTCACACATTTAGGCCCAGATGATTTTTTCCTGCACAATAAACGTGCACCTGTCACCCATCTTTGTGTGTGTGTGTGTGTGTTTGCATCTTTGTGTGTGTGTGTTTGCATCTTTGTGCGTGTGTGCCCCCATGCCTGGAAGTCATGGCGACCTCTGGTTACTCCTTCTGGGGCACAGAGGACATTCATGGAAGTGGCATGATAGCCTGCCTCTGGCCTCCCGGCCCTGGTATCCCCTGGAGGTCTCCCATCCAAATACTTGCCAGGGTCAGCCCTGTGTAGCTTCTGAGATCGGGCTTGCCTGGGCCATCCAGGTCAGGGACTGTCACCATCTTTAATAAGGCAGTCAAATGTTGTTCTCACTTCTGGTATGCGTCTTGTGAAGAAGCTGCCCCCCACAATCATATTGGTTAATAGGGAAGATGCAGTTCCTGCCCCCGGAAGAAGCTGTCCCGCCCAATAATCTTTGTTAATAGGGAAGATGCAGTTCCTGTCCCCCCCCCCACAAATACTGTGTTTCAGGAAGGCAGAAATAATGTAAAGAAAGACCTGTGTGGAAAGATATTGTTTGTGACATCTTGTGATGTCAGCTGGTTGGCCACTGTATGAGACAGGATGCTGGACTAGAGGGCCCTCTGGTCTTATCCACCAGGGCTTCCCTTATGTTATGAAAGACGCAAGTTCTTTCTGTATCCTGGACTGATTTGACACCCCTTTCAAAAGGCTGTGCTCTTCTCCTCTCCAACACTGGAGTGTAAAAGGTAAAGGTTCCCTTGCTCGAAAGCCAGTCGAATCCGACTCTAGGGTTGCAGTGCTCATCTCTGTTTCAAAGCCGAAGAGCCAGAACTGTCCGAAGACGTTTCCGTGGTCATGTGGCTGGCATGACTAAACACCAAGGCGCACGGAATGCTGTTTCCTTCCCACCGAAGTGGTACCTATTTATCTACTTGCAATTTCTTGCTTTCGAACTGCTAGGTTGGCAGGAGCTGGAACTAGAGACGGGAGCTCACTCCGTCATGCAGCACTTGGGTCTCGAACTGCTGAACTACTGACCTTCCACGGCCTGCAGTTCAGTGCCTTAACCACTTGAGCCACTGCAGCTCTGGAGTGTACATCACCCCTAATTTATATTTTTTAAAGGCCACAAGGCAGGTTCTCCCTGACCTACACAACTGCTCCATGCATGACGCAGGTCAGTATAATGCAACAGCAGCCTAAAACTGTGGAGAATGGAGTTCAAATTGCCATGAGGCTCACCAAATGAGCTTGGGCCAGTGACATACTCCCTGCTCAAGCTACCTTACAAGTTTTTGTGAAGATAAAATGAAGAACCATGGACGCCACACCGATCACCCTGGAGGAAAGGTGGGATATAAACAAGAGATGCAATGAGGGGATTTCAACACACCACTAACATTGGATCCCAGCTGTTAACACTAAGAATATAATCCACTCTTAATGATCACTGGGAAAGGCTCTTCCTTTCTTTGGCAAGCCCTATCTTTCTATGTACTTTGCCTCACTATTTCTGGCCCTGAAAAATCCCCAATATAACTGCAAGCCAAATACTCATCTGCATCCATTCAATCAGACTATATTAGTCTTTCTAGCTATTCTCCCATCTTTGCCTCTTACTGTCAGGTTTTGCAAAAACGATCATCATATTTGACTCCTGTGAAAATGCGACGAGCTTTGAACCCTTAGAACAGGGTGGGCTATAAAAAACTGAGATAAATGAATAAATCAATTCAGCAAATAAATAGTCTCGACTGCAATAATGACATGCTAGGTATTCTATAATTATAGGACCTGAGTTAGCAGGCACTCTGTGCAAGCACGAAACGTCTCTCTGCTGCAGGAAAGAGCATCAGACAGACTGAGCTCTCAGTAACAGGATCTAAATAGTGGATTCTTTTCGCCATACAGAAGTCTCACAGAGTGGCAGCAGCCCAGTTAAACAGCATTTGTTCCTGAAAAATGACAAATATCCTAAGTTTATTTAGCTGTTTTTGAAAAGGCTTAGGCCAGCTGATGGATGCACAAGATTTGGAAAAAAAAAACATAACAGGAAGAAAATACATGTATAAATGTGTGGCGCAACACAACTACTTCTGCATTCTTGCCCAGCACAACATTTGTTATACATAGAAAATTCTGCCAATCCTGTACCCGATCTAAAAGGAATCCAGGTCTTCATGCACATTCAGATTCAGGACTGCGCTTTTGAGCTTCAATTTTTAATGTGCCCAACATGCTGAACAGGCAGGAAAAGCACAAAGAGCTGTCTTGTTTAGATAATGAAATGTTTACTACGTCCAGCCACTTGTGACACTGGACAGCGGGCTAGATTATCCACTGAAAAAGTCACATTATGTAAAATGGACAGTGGAGAAACACCAAACATTTTTAAGGGCCAACTCTTAACTCTAACAACACATAAAGTAGTGAGAATCTAATTCAAGTTTAACAGATATGAACTAATATTTTAACAATTTTCTCAGTTTTCTTGAAGCACCACATTAAACTGAAATCTGAATACTCTGTGTTGCCTTTCACCTTATGGGTTATAGTCATTTGTGGGTTATAGTCATTTCCTGGTCTATGGGCAAGTCCACAGAACAGATGGGACAGGTACAGGCATTTTTCTTCGTATCAGCTAAACTTCCTCCTTACAACCCTCCCCAGGTTAATTCTCAACTTCTGTTTCAGTCAGCTTAAAAACAAAAACTCAGCAAAACTGTCATTTGGATAACACATTTTTCTGTGCTACAAACAGTTTACAAACATGAACATAGGCACATTCACAACAAGCGCCTACATTTTCACTATCTCTGCTTTATATTCCATTCCACATTTGCTTAAATTTTACATAATTTGTGAGGAATATTACTTAAGCACTGAGACACTTGACAGTGAAGCAGGAAAGTATGTTCATACCAAGATTAATATACAAGTAAGGCTCACTGCAAGACCAAGGGTTAGAATTCAGATTCAAGTTTTCCCTTGCTAAAAGCCATCATGTAAGTCATTAGAAAGTGCCAACCATCTTGCACCTATAATCAGTTGCAAAGTGGAACTGGAAAACATGCCTTCAGCTTCAATAAGGAACTGCCTTGAAAGAGATGGAATCAAGGCCTTTTTTAAAAAAAAGCCAGATTAAAGCAATTTAAGGCTTGGTTTCAGATGTTTGTTAAGCGATCACTAATCAAATTAGGCTTTGCACATATAATCTGCTTCAGTGTTGCTAGAAATATGCATAACCAGTAAATGATAGTAGTACCTGATATTCAGTTAAAGAATATATATATATAGGTATTACCTGTTATTCCTTTGCCTTTATAAGTCTTGGCAATAATTGCAGTTGGTTGATGCTTGGCCTGGCCAAAAGCTTTACAAAGCTCCTCCACACTGTGCCCATCAACAATGATAGCATGCCAGCTAGGAATGCAAACAGATTAGCTTTAAAAGGATTTACAAAAGCAAAGCTTTTTACAAGAGCTCCAAGCCAAACACTCAACAGCTTAGTAAGTATAACGCACTAAGCACAAAGCTATAAACATGTCTACCTATAACAGTCAGGTGCTACACAATTGCAGTTTTTGCTGCAAAAGGTTCACAGTGGTCAGGATGCAATGATCCACTTGGTGTACCCAAGGACTGAGGGATGACCAAAGGAATTTTTCACTTCTTTCCCCCCTTTGAGAAGCTGACCTCAATGCCATCTCACAAATTGTTTTGGACAGCTTCTTCATTTTCAAAATCAATTTTCATATGTCAAGCTGTTGTTTTAGAACCAATGCGCTCAAGTCGCTTTAGAACATGTGCACTAATCAGATTGACTATATAATTTGCAGTCAAAGATGGAGAAGCTCTATACAGTCAGTAAAACAAGACCTGGAGCTGACTGTGGCTCAGATCATGAGCCACTCATTGCAAAATTCAGACTTAAACTGAAGAAAATTGGGGAAACCACTAGGCCATTCAGGTTTGACCTAGATCACATCTCTGATGAATATACAGTAGAGGTGAAGAATAGATTCAAGGGTCTAGATTTGATAGAGTGCCTGAAAAACTATGGACGGAGGTTCGTGACATTGTACAGGAGGTAGCAATCACCACCATCCCAAAGAAAAAGAAATGCAAGAAAGCAAAGTGGCTGTCTGATGAGGCTCTACAAATAGCAGAGGAAAGAAGGAAAGTGAAAGGCAAAGGCGAAAAGGAAAGATTTACCCAACTGAATGCAGATTTCCAGAGAGCAGCAAGGAGAGATAAGGAGGCCTTCCTGAATGAATAATGCAAAGTAATAGAGGAAAACAATAGCATGGGAAGGACTAGAGATCTCTTCAAGAAAATTGGAGAAATCAGGGGAGCGTTCCATGCAAAGTTGGCCATGATAAAGGACAAAAACGGTAGGGACCTAACAGAAGCAGAAGAGATTAGGAAAAGATGGCAAGAATACACAGAAGAACTATACAAGAAAGACCTCGATGTCCTTGACAACCACGACGGTATAATCACTGACCTCGAGCCAGACATCCTGGAATGTGAAGTTAAATGGGCCTTAGAAAGCATTACTAACAACAAAGCTAGTGGAGGTGATGGTATCCCAGCTGAGCTATTCAAAGTCTTAAAAGATGATGCTGTTAAAGTGCTGCACGCAATTTGCCAAAAAATTTGGAAAATGCAACAGTGGCCACAGGATTGGAAAAGATCAGTATACATTCCAATCCCAAAGAAGGGCAACGCCAAGGAATGTTCAAACTATCGCACAATTGCACTCATATCACACGCTAGCAAGGTCATGCTCAAGATCCTACAAGCTAGGCTTCAACAGTACGTGGATAGAGAACTACCAGAAGTACAAGCTGGGTTTCGAAGAGGTAGAGGAACGAGAGATCATATTGCCAACATTCGCTGGATTATGGAAAAAGCAAGAGAGTACCAGAAAAATATCTACTTCTGCTTCATTGACTATGCTAAAGCCTTTGACTGTGTGGATCACAACAAACTATGGCAGGTCCTTAAAGAGATGGGAGTACCAGACCACCTCACATGTCTCTTGAGAAACCTGTATAAGGGCCAAGAAGCGACAGTTAGAACCGGATACGGAACAACTGATTGGTTCAGCATAGGAAAAGGAGTACGACAAGGATGTATACTGTCACCTTGCTTATTTAATATATATGCAGAGTACATCATGCGAAATGCTGGCCTGGATGAATCACAAGCGGGAATTAAGATTGCTGGGGAAAAGATCAACAACCTCAGATATGCAGATGATACCACTCTAATGGCTGAAAGTGAAAAGGATCTAAAGAGCCTCTTGCTCAGAGTAAAAGAGGAGAGCGCAAAAGTGGGCTTGAAGCTCAACATCAAAAAAACTAAGATCATGGCATCCGGCCCCATCACTCCTTGGCAAATAGAAGGGGAAGTCGTGGAAGTAGTGACAGACTTCACGTTCCTGGGATCCCAGATCACCGCAGACTGTGACTGCAGCCATGAAATTAAAAGACGCCTGCTCCTTGGGAGGAAAGCGATGGCGAACCTAAACAGCATGATAAAAAGTAGAGACATCACCCAGGAAGGCCTGGCGTGATCTGGTCCATGGGGTCGCGAAGAGTCGGACTCGACTGTGCGACTGAACAACAACAAAGCAGTGTGGAACTATACATAAAGAATAAATTAGGTCAATTCAGATTGGCAGGAAATAATGTTGTATCTGGATTAACTGCTTTCACAAGATTGGAAAGATGGGGACAGGAAAACTGAACTGCATTTAGACATCAATCATAAACTCATTTGCTGGGAAACAAAAAAAGATATAGGGGACCAATGCTAAGGAATGTAGCTTTGTTCTCCTATATCTGTGAGAATAATCTTAAGCAGATATACTCAGAATCCTATTCAAGTCTATTCAACAGGGTTTACTTCCAGGTGAGTGTTCTTCGAATGGCACTGTTACCTACTAACCAATGCTGTATGCATACCATTAAGATATGTAGCAGCAAGCAGTGACTCACGAAAGCTCTTACCCTGCCACACATTTTGTTAGTCTTTAAGGTGCCACTGGACTCTTGCATACCGTATTGCATAAGCCAACAGCTGATAATGTTAAGGAAGAAATTTGTCTTCAAAGCAATTAGCTACATTACATAACTGTAATGCAAGAGATTAAATATTTGTGTAGGACGAGTGACTTTCTCAGCAGTATACAGTGGCAGGTAGCCTTGGCCCAAGTTGCAGGCAAGACTCCAGCTTAAATCTCATTTATTTTAATAGAAGTCAGGATATCTGTATGTAGAGGTAACTGAGGTAGAAAGTAGTCACTGATCCCAACTGCTGAAATGTTGAAGAAAGCCAAAAAAGTCATGCTGGCAAATGTTAGGCAATTAAAAGCAAAATAAATAAAAGCCCTTCCCACCTATTTATATTTCTAAAATGCAAGAAAAGAAGTTGATCCTGAAATCTAAACATTAATCTGCACTTGCTTTTATCTTATTAGCTTTGTTATACTGACCAGCATTGCTTTGTATTTTAATTTCTAAACTCAATGCAGATTAAAAAACAGCACACAGCATGAATAAAATATCTCTCAAAGACATACATACCCAAAGGCTTCACAACGTTTTTGGTAGATTTCAACATGATGCTGCAGAGGAGCTGGGTCACTTTGTCCAAGTCGGTTAATGTCAAGAATAGCAACCAAATTATCCAGTTTGTAGAACCCAGCAAAGGCCATTGCTTCCCAAACTGAGCCTTCAGACAATTCTCCATCTCCAAGAACACAATAAACTCGATAGCTTATAATTAAAACAACAAAAAGGGGAGTAATTAATGTATACCCACCCAAAAAAATTATATGAAAGATACAGTGTGAAAGCTACAACTTGTAAATTGGATAGACTCTTCATGTATAATTAAAGTCTGCCCTGTATCTGTTAATCGATTGGAATTATTGGAGGGAATTTTCCCTTTAAAATTAAAGCAAGGCTGTAATAAGACTATTATAGCCTGTGGATGATATTAACAGTTACTGACCTATTCCCAGCCTTCCATAGTTAAGCAAATTGGTAGAAAAAGTGGTAGTAAAAGAACTCCAGGAATATGGGGAGGAGACATCTGCCCTTGACCTGTTTCAATCTGGCTTCAGAGACCTGGTTTTGGTACTGAGATGGTACTTAGTGCTCTGGCGGATGGTCCTTTCACTAATGTTCTAATATCATTGTGAGTCCTTTGGTGGAGACTGCTTGGAGGCTGGGAGCTGGCTGTCACCACTACGCAGATGACACCCAACTATACATCTCTTTATCCAAGCCACCAGAAGCAGCAGTTTCAGTGCTGAACCAGTATCAGAAAGCGGTGATCAAAAGAGAACAAGCTGACACTGAATCCAGAAAAGACTAAGGTAATGCTGGTAAGGAAGGCTGGTAGTATGGAGTTGCCACCCATATAAATTGATGGCGTGATGGCCCACTTCTCTGACTTGGTGAGAAGCCCTGGAGTAAAACTGGATCCAATGCTGCTCTTAGAACAGCAAGCTAGGGAAGGGGCTAGGAGCACTTTCTATCATCTGTATTGAATGCACCAACTGGCACCCAGTCTTGATTGTGCTGACCCATGCCACTGTAACCTTGAGGCTAGATTATTGCATTGCATTATACATGGAGCTGTCCCAGAATACTGTTCAGAAACTTCAGTTAGTACAGAGTGGTGCTGCTGGATTACTGACTGATTTACACTGGTATATGATCATAACACCTGTGCTTTGATAGCTTCACTGACTACCCACTTGTTTCCCACTTGACATGAGTCAGCAGTGTGATGTGGTAGCTAATAAGGCAAATGTGATTTTGGGCTCTATCAACAGAAGTATAGTGTCCAGATCACGCTTTACTCTGCTCTGGTTAGACCTCACCTAGAGTACTGTGTTCAGTTTTGGGCACCACAATTTAAGAAGGATACAGACAAGCTGTAACATGCCCAGAGGAGGGCAACAAAGATGGTGAAGGGGTCTGGAGACCGTCCTATGAGGGAAAGTTGAAGGATCTTGGTATTTTTAGCCTGGAGAGGAGAGGTGATATGACAACCATCTTCAAGTACTTGAAGGGCTGTCATATAGAGGATGGTATGGAGTTGTTTTCTGTTGCCTCAGGAGGCTGGACCAGAACCAGAGGGTTGAAATTAAATCAGAAGAGTTTTTGGCTAAACATCAGGAAGAACTTCCTGACAGAGTGGTTCCACAGTGGAACAGGCTTCCTCAGGAGGTGGTGGGCTTTCCTTCTTTGGAGGTTTTCAAACAGAGGCTAGATGGCCATCTGACAGCGATGCTGATTCCGTGAACTTAGGCAGATCATGAGAGGGAGGGCAGGAAGGGTTGCATCAGTGCTTAGTTCTTGTGGCCCTTTCTTACACGCCCAAGGAAAAGCTGATTGTCACTTTGGGGTCAGGAAGCATTTTTTCTCCAGGTCAGTTTGGCTGGAGATCCTCTGGAGGGTTTTTTTTTTGTGGTCTTCTGACCATGGAACAGCAGTCACTGGGTGTGTGTGTGGGGGGAGGTATTTGTGAATTTCCTGCATTGTGTAGGGGGTTGGACTAGATGACCGTGGAGGTCCTTTCCAACTCTATGATTCTATGATTCCAGACACAATTTAAGCTTTTACATTTAAAACCCTTCATAGCCTGGAACCTGACTATTCAATGCACTGCCTTTCCCATATGATCTATATTCTGATGGTACTCTTCTGCTTAAGTGGTCCATTTAGGTACAACCCATGTGTGCTCTTTTTCAGTGGCTGTGCCCACACTTTGGAACAAATTGCCAGATATGGTACAGGAAGGTCCTACATGGTCCTCCTTCCATAAAAGGTGCCAAGTGGAATTAGTTTGATGAGCCTTAGACTGAACTAATGAATTAATGTCTCTGACAGCTGGTAGAGACAATGTTGCAGTTTTAACTTGATGTTGTTTAATTTAGGTGTTTTATATTTTTATTTGTGTATGTCTAGATTTTGTAAGCCACCTTGGGAACTGTGGAAAGGTGGGATATAAATATTTTAAATACATTTTAAAATAAAATCCTCAAAAAGAGAACATTCATCTTGACAGTCAAAGATTATCTAATCAGAAAACTACTTTTTAAAATTGATCCAGGGTTTTTGTGTGTGTGCTACTGCTCTATTAAGCAATGCGTAGGACTGGAAGATCATAAAATAAAAATTACAAACAATAGACCCCCATATCTGTATGACTGCCTCCACACATACATGCCCATGGCAGCTCTGATCTGTTATTAGTTACTCCAGTCAGGTTGATGAAAACCATATCTGCTCAGGCCTTCTCAGTGGATATACCATGCTCTGGAATGGGCCCTCCAAGGCTACAAGAAAGGCTCTAATTTTACAGAAATTTTGGAGGCTCTGTAAGCAGGGCTTTTTCCAACATACTTTTTGATGGCTCATGAGGGGAAGCTGTCTTGTATAGGCCCATGCAGTCCCAACATTGTTTCTGAGAGTAAACTGGCAAATATCTCTAGAAAGAGCCTTCATCATAATGCATAAGAAAGCTGATTTCAAAAATAGCCATCCTTTTTTGAAAGCAACAAGAAGAAAATATGATTTTTTATTTCTGTTAAACCAGTCATAAGAATCATAAACATGTGCATACAAAAACTCTAAGCTAGCTGTGTATCCTTTCTTGCAAGACAGACAAGAGCCAAAATCTCCATGGCCACAGGCTGGCGTGCATTTGTGCTTGTGCATTGCCTCTCATGGCCCATACAGAGAAGAAAGACACACTGGAAGTGGCTGAAGCATGTAATGGAAAGTTTAGACACCAGAGGGATTTAGATTCTCTTGACTATAGCTACTGCCCATGGTTTTATCCACTGGATTTAGTTGTAATTTAGTTCTCATTACTTCTCCCCTAAAGAATCCTGGGACCTAACTCAGCCCTCAGCACCTCCAAGGCTGCAGATCCTATCAATGTAAACTGACCCAGCTTAAAACTGGTTTTCGGTTTATAATGCAATGTGCCCTCAGTGGAAACTTGCTCAGCTTCATATCCAGTTTGACCACCAAGAGAGACAGGTCTGATTCCAATACTATTCAACTCTATCACATTCTAGATTATTAGAAACCAAATTCAAGCTTTCTTTTTTAAAAAAGTTGGTAGCTGACTTCATTTGTGCATAATAAATTGTTTAACAGGTTTGTCGATTTTACTGTATGCCCTAGAAATTATCTGTATGCAATAAGAGAATTCTTCAGGCCAGAAGGAATAGTCAGGCGCAGTTTATTCAGCTTTAACAACCACCTCCCTCCTCAATAAGCAAACCAAATGAGTAGCTGAAAGGAGGATATAATTTATTAGTGGCAATTGTTATAGAATAAAAATGTAATCTTGGAAAGGAAGGTGTTCTAAACAATGAACCTTACAGTAAAACCTGAAATGAACATGCCTGTTCACTGTGACTCAGCAGGGTCACTGACAAACCACAGCTCTTACTTAAGGAGTGCTGCTTATTTCCTTTTCTGAAATCCCCATCTCTGCTAGCTGTGCTATATGAGGAAACAGACCATGAAGTTCTCATTTCTGAGAAGTGACCCTTCAGTTTACTCCTGTGGCAGGCAAGGATTGGCACATCATCTATTGGGCGCATTTAAGTCCCAAACCCTGAAACCCTGAAGTGGCTAACCTGTTTGAAATGGAAAAATAAAAAGATTCTCCCTTCCACTAAGAGAACAGCCACTTCCTTTGTGGCATTACAGGCAGCGCCCACTAAAGCACAGTGGAGAAAGGACTTAGATCGCCTGTGTTTCTTAATGGAAAGGCTGCAAATGTTTTAATTCATTATAATACAAAGGTACACTGGCTTTTGAAAGGATATTCCGTTATTTTTAATACAAGTACTTAGAAAGTCCAGATGGCAGACGTCATCTTAGAAGAGGCATTCACACATACCACTTCCGAACAGGAGGAATACCTTCCATAAGACGGTGCCTACTGCCAGGTTACTCAGATTTAATCAATTAGTATCACACAGTCAACCAGATAAAATTTCTTTGATCAGGCACCAGCCCCAACTTTGCTTGCTCCCTGCCTGTGGCACAACACAGTCTGTACTGTGCTACCTACTGGCGTAAGATATGGAAGCAGCAGTTAAGGGATAGGTGGGCAGTCCTTGGGACTCTGGAAGGAGGTGGAGAGAGAAGAGATCCAAATTCCATTTTTTTCTGTCACAGTTCCTATGCCAGACAAGCTGAAATTTAACAGGTAAAGTGTGTCCCTATCCTGAGGAAAACATGCTATTTAGTGATTAGCAGAAACCTTAGCTGGACATGAGGGTCTTCTAGCCACCTCTCAGCTTTAGGATTCTGCAAATCCAATCCCAAGTGAGATGAGTTCTTTATGATGTGGCTTTTAATGCATTATCTACTTTCTGTAAATATTTTATGGATGGCTGTGCACTGTTTCTGGGCAGATACATCTATTTGCCTAAAGATCAAAATTGTACAAATTGGGATGGGGAGGGGGAGTGAATAAACCTGAAGAAAGAAAGGTGACAGGAAAAAAACAACCAAATGCCAGTGAGAACAGTTTGCACCATATCACACGAATACTTTTTGTGATAGATGACACATCTACAAACTTCATTACTTGCCTAACTAAATTACAATTCTACAAAGTGCTGGCTATTCTCTGATGCTACATACAACAGCTAGCAAGAACCAACAGTAAGCTGCACAGATAAGGTCTTCCTATGAAAACCATCTGTCAGACTGCATTACGGTCACCTAGCCATCGTACACAGAAATGCTTTCAAGCAAGTGAAGTGTACAATTTAAAATTACATTTACTCAGCAACCCAGATTTTCATGCACCAATACTGTCATGTAAAATACATCAACTTCCCCCAACAAAGACATGCCTTTGGATATCTCATTTTTCTTTAACACCATATAAATATTTCCATGCCAGTCCCAATAGGACTGCAATTTAGATGCTGCATATATGACCAAACACTGTTTCCCCAAACCAATCTAAGGGTTGCACAGCAGGTTACTCCTGCCATTATTCTCCATGATCCCCTTTTGTTCTACAATGTCGTGTTGCCATAACAACCTCTGAACAAAACTCACTTCACATG